TTAGCTGGATCCAGAAAACGTGTTCTGTCTGGGCTAGCATGTCATCCTCATAATACTTAAAGATGCCGAAAATATTAATTTCTTCGCGAAAAAAATGGAACAATTATCGTATCGCCGAAACAAGTGGACGGATTTCTATAAAATTTAGTATTGGCATGTGTATAGCGATTTACATTTTCCGAGTTTTATTTCTGTACTGTATGAACACAATACCAATCACAAAGAGTTCGCCGAATATGAAACACTTTGATTGAAACAAGGCGCACATGCGCATATGTCACTGGTCTTTATGCACATACTGAGTCTGAAATTATTTTTCCGTGTATTTAGCTAAATACTGTTCATATCGTCAGATGTACAATGCGATGTAGCCCTGCCAATGTTCTGTCCGATGGTCTTAAGGAAACTAATTAACTTGATATAGTAAAAGTTGCAGCAGACCGATATGAATCAAAGTTTGATCCACCCGACAGAACTTCAAATAAAAAAATATTTCGTCGAAATCCGTTGTGTACTTCTGGAGATGCGAATAGGCTGATATGTATGGCTTCCCTTCGTGCTGTTTCGTGCTTAAACCAAGAACGCAATTCCACAAAACTTTCATCAAAATAATGGATCTGGAAGTTACGTGAGGTCAGAGGTGGAAGGCTGCTGCTGATGAAGGAAACTATAAATCACCGCTGTCGGCCGAATTAAAGTAACGTTCTTCACTGATGAGATAGGCCAATAACCTTCCCGGAACGAAATCTCCCTGATATCAGCGAACTGCGCGCTTCCTGCCCAAAATTCGCGACAGTCCACCTGCAGACACGCGATGGCTGAGTGACTGCCATTTTCTTATTCATCTCTCTTATTCATTGCTTCGATGGTCTAAACATAATAGCCAAAAGCAAAAGATTCAATTGCTTACTGAAACTGGTATTTTATATTTTATGTCATTTCATAGATGTGTGGGTGGGGGGGGTGGGGGTGTCAGATATTTGTATTCACACGAAGGGAGCCTCACACTACGACAGTCTGACAACGACTGGCAGAACACCCTGGATTAAATTACTAAGTTCAGAATGAGGTAAATTCACTGACAAGCAGACGAAAGAAGAATGCAATTTCTTACTCACGGCCCATTTTTACCCCGCATTGATTAATCAAACACTTTGCCAACTGAGTCCCTTGATTTATTTATTTTATTTATTTAGTGTTCTGTCTGACGACAGGTCCATATGAACAGGATCCTTCCATCCTTTTCTCGGACTGGGACCTGTTCATATACGTTCTTGGCAGATGATCCAGAAGTGGTTTGCCATTGCCTTCTTCTGTGTGTGAATGGAGTAATTGTTGGGATGCCACGGAGAAACCGGGGAAGCCCCCGGAGGAAAACTCCGTGTTGCCTAGACCACGGCCTTGCCCAACACAAGTTATAAATTCGGGCACCGCCGGGAATCGAACCCGAGACCCCAGGATTACAAGGCCAGCGTTCTAACCGCTAGACCACCGGAATAACAAGTGATAAGGACCACGAGGCAGACTCTGCCTGGAGTAAATGACTAACACCACGAACACCTCCGTCGTGACAGCCGAAAATCGAAAAGGGGATCTCAAAACGAGTTACCGCTAGAGGATGCGCTCTAGTACCATCAGACGCGTGCCACATCATCCCCTGCGTGTGCAATCCGGACACCCCTAACGTGGCGCGCCCACACTCCTGATTTCGACGTATTAATTACAAGGGAATGCTTCTTTAACGACGGCGTTTGGTTCTTACGAGATGCTAGAAACATCTGCCTGCTGGTCCATGTAATAAACCCTCGAATTTCTGAACCGTATTCTGCGACAATTAGGGCTTCTTTGACGACGCAGTTGTTTCGCGATTTAGTTTAATTCAATTACAACTCTTATTTGCTCTAGGAATACGGTTACGATCTGTCTTAAAATGGGACGATTTAATTATCTTCCGTTTATGTCTGGAAGTGAAAGCCAGGTCAAAATAACGGAAGAGAGATTTCTGAGCAGAATCGACGAATTTAGAAAGCCGCCGACAATTCTCATAGTCGGTACTGAGTGTACTGTAATAATATGAAGCGAGTTGTGCATAATTTTCAACTGGAATGTTCATAACACTTGGAACAATCTATTACCGACGAGAATAAAAGAGTGTTTTTTTTTTTGGGGGGGGGGTTGTGCAGTATCGCCCTTGCGGGTGCGATGACATGGCTCTTTGGGCGCAGTCCGCTGTTTGATTCCCCCCTTCTGCGGCTGCGGCTTGTCGAAGTCCCTTCCACGACTAGTTTGCATTTCAGAGCGCCTGTAGGGTGCGCAGTCCGCCGTGCAATGCGATCACGCTCCGACCCGAGTTTTGTTTCTGACGTTATAGTCTGTTCCAAAAGTAACTTCACTACCTTTTTAATTTCGTTGCCTTGCGTATCTGTTACCTTACCACAAGAGAACTCATTCTCGTAAGAAGTTTGTTTCACAGACAGCCCCAGTTAAATCAGACCATCAGCATGAAAAAGCGTTCCGATTTTCAGTGCTTGTGAAACCATCACTGTGTATATGCGCACGATTTGACGTTCTCACGAAGATGGCTGTCTGCTGGGATGTAGAGCCTTGTAGTCTGATAGAAATTTAAGAACGTTACCACGGCAAATATTAAAATAATTTATGCACAAAGAACACACAGAGCCAAAAACATTTTCCTATTAATAATGTAGCACGCCGATAGGCTTATATAGGTAAATGGAAGTTAACATATGCACAGGGTACGTTACCACAGAAACGACGAGCACGACATAAGATGTAGAAGAACTCACCTGAAACAAAAACGAAAGAAAATTAATATCTGAACGTAATTATAAAGCACGTGCATTTACATACAATTCCGTTAACCGATAACTGGACACACGATCATGAGACAGTCGCATCCATCACCCATCCTCGCAACGTACTTAATTAAATTATTACGTAGTAAATGTTGTCCTTAATAGGTTAAGAGGAGGCTAGTACGTCATCAGCGTGACAGATCTTTTCATTCGTAATGCGGACATGGTTAAAAATGCACATTGCTTATCGTCGTAAGATTAAAACAGCAATCGATAAAGTGAATACCTGCAAAATAGGTGGGAAGAGAAAACGGGAAGAAAAACGAAAGGGGCGAGAAAAAAGAGAACGCAACAGCAGAAGGGAACAAAGAAGGAGAGGAAACAGAAAAGCATAGTCCACACTACTGGAGTCCTTTATGCATGAACATGCCACATCACGACAAAACGTGTCATAAAGTGTTTCTGTGATTTACATCAATTTGCCAGTAATTGCGCAGTGTCAGTCGATCGTGCTCTGCATTCATCTGGATAAATGACGAGTCGCGACGGGCAATCAGTGCTCAGCGGCGCACATACAAACCAGGCGAGACAGGTGTGTCGGTGAGTGTCGCCACGGAAACACTGTAATTTCAGAACAATGCGACAGTACGGCGAAATAGCAGTCTAGCTACAAATCGGTGTCCTCCTGGAATACAATCTAAGCAGGAGGCACCATGTCTGAATTAGTAATTATTCTTAAACCTTTAAAGCCCAGTGGTAACTATACGTAACGATCAATAACTGCATATTTTGTGTTTATGTGTTTCAAATGACTCTCACTGCAAACAGCAATTATTCTCTTGAACAACGTTAACAAAAGATGTCTGTCTTCTGGGTTGTTGCGCTATGTAGTCTGGTGTAAATTTACCGACTTTCAGAGGTTCTTGCTGCCCCCATCATCAGGGCGATCGCTCAGAAGACAACCATCTTCAGACTCACCGCCGTGAAACCTGAAATCCTAATGTAAATCAGTTGACTTTTATAATGGCGGTGTTGTTTTCTCTGCGGTATAAGTATCATTAATGCTAGCTTCGACTTCAAAAGGTTAACAACAGCCCTGCTTTTGGTGCACCAATAACGCACATTCAATAACTGAGAACAATTATTTAATGAACTTCCAAAGAATGTAATTTTTTCATCATGTTCTCCGACTGTCCGACCACAATAATTCTGAAATAGCCCCCACCCGACCCACTACAAAGACCAGTTTCCCACCCCTGATTTACCGAGAAGTAGTGACTGTTTCAGGCCATGATGGGAAGTGACCTGAGCTCTGCGAGACCTGCTACTATCGCAGCCGCAGTTGAAAAAGTTAAAAACAGATGGAACAAACCACAACGTAGATGTTTTGTTTCATTTTTAATGCCGATAATTTCCTAAGAAGTCTGTGTACGGGTGCAGACATGTGTTCTGAGACAGGGTCCTGAAAAACATGTACACTTGTCTCCGATAACAAAACACATTGTCTGCTAAGAGCAGGCAATTCACACTTCCAAGAATGATTTACGGTTGTGAACTGCTTCAAGAAGGAACACAGTGCCTCGTGCACCATGGAACAATAGGCAAACCTATTAGACGGGTTTCCATGGTAACACGTACTTCAAATGTTTTCGTGTCGTTTTCAGAACCAGCATTACTTGAGAGAGAAAGGAGAGCCACAGAGCGCCCTCAGAGTACAAAGAGTACACACTTGCTTCGTATTCAGGAAGTCCAAAGTTTGATTCTGAGGTCCGGACACCGGCTATCCTGGTTAGCAATCCTCGTGGAATCAAGTCCCTCCAGGCAAATGCTGGGAAAGCACCATAAAATGTACCAGCCGCTCACACAATTTCAAGTCTTCATAAAGCTCGCAATGCAGTGTACACAGTCTCCGGTCCTCAGTTCGTATCCCTTCGGTCTTTTCAGAAGTTTCAGAGAACGAAAGGAAACTACACACTCGCTCAACTTATTTCCTACGGTACAGTAAACACGCCCCTAAAACAAGCCTACGCGAACAGACAAATGATTGATCGAGATTCTGGGCTCGATTCTAACCGATTTTGTGGGAACCGGATGTTTATCTACCATCAATCATCCTTATCATCAGCGGTATTTGGAACTGAGAGCCTGAAGCGGGTTACTTCTGACAATAATAAAATTATTCGGAATTAAGCTCACGTACAATGAAAGACCGAAAATGAAAAATATGTTGATAAAGCACATCGAAAGAAAACAGGGAGCGAAGCTAGGACTTTCAAGGGATGACAATGCAGTCTGGCAAAACTTTGTTAAACAAAACAGGGAAGATGTAATCTGTTGGAGTACACGTATCTTCCAAATGTGTTTTTCGCTATTTTTCGTATCTCATTTGGCTGGTTGTTCATTTTTTGTAGCAAAGTTAACAGATGGCGCACTACAGGTACCACTCTGCGTAGAATATTTAATTAAGTATTCATAATATATATAGTTTCCGAACAGAAGTTGTAGATGTTAATAAAGCCCGCATTTTATGTCCTATGCTACTGTGCGGTAGACTGGTTTTGAAGAAAATAAAATTCGAATTACGACTCGGACACTGACTCCTGAAGATTTCATTTCTCCTTAGTTCTTCCACAGAAAAATACAAGGTACTTTGATAAAATTCGTTATACTTGATTACCATAACTTCCCAAAGATAATTAGGTTTTAAGCCACGTCGACCATTTATTCGTGCCGGCATACGAAAAGATAAGAACTTCGCCACGGTATTGTTCAATTCCTAAACCACTCTTTATGAAAAGTACGAAAGGTCTTAATCAGGATAGCCGATCAACAGACCAGGATTCGAACACGCGACTTCCATAACAACCAGCGAGAATGCTAAACACTATACAACAATTTTCGGAACTTTACATTTTTTTTTCAGGCTGACAAACCTCAGGCAGCAAATGTTGCAAGTTGTGTTTGTGTGTTGGTCTTCACAACGCCTTAATGCCTCCAGTTTCAATCACTTAATGGCTTCCCCCCCGCCCGTTTTCTGTTATTTCAGCCAGTTCCTTATTTCCCTCTCGCTGTCATCTGCTTTACTCTCCTCTTATGAAGTTGTCCGTCAACTCATGACGCAATCTCTGATCAAGCCAACACCAAGAGCAGAGGGGCGGTTTCTGAACTGTGACAAGCGTTTCCTGCTCATAGGAACACGACAGTTCATTACCGTTATCATAAAATTCCACAACTTAATATTAGGTGAAGAGCACAAACGATAACTGTCATAGTACGTCAGTAGTTAATCCAACATCAATAAATAATGCAAGAAACAATCAATGCAAAATTTTCTAGTAAAGAAATCGTTTCCGACAGCAATAACGCCACTGATAACACAATCAATAAAGGGAAGAAGCAAGTTGTGTCTCTAGGCACAAGCTGAAAGGCTCTCGCCCTGATGTACAAAAATTATGAGCTCTTAATTAGTTTGGACTGCCCAGAGCGCCCGTACAAACTGCAACCCGTCTAACAATTACAGCGCTTTCCTTCAGGTTTTCCGACATCACTCCCATTCCCATGCTGGTTGTTTAGGGAACAAACGTTTCGCAGTCATCAAATATAGACCTAATCTGAGGTACCGGCATAGCGTGTCTTAGGGCAGCGTTTCTCAAACTATGGCACGCGTACCACTGGTGGCACGTGAGCCAATGTTGAGTGGTACGCGAACAAAGTAAGAAAATCAGAAGATAATATTAACATACATAAGTTTTCCCTGAACGCATTTGGTTAGTGGTACATTTAATGTGTTAAATTAGAATTAGTGGTACGCCAGCGAAAAAGGGGCGAGAACCCCTGTCTTACGGCATTTAAAGGGGCATCTACTATACATATATGAAATGTTTTGTCGGCGTCGGTTTGTCAGCGCGTCGTGTCTTGTGGCATTACTGGGCTCAAAGCAGACGAGACAGAGTTTCTCCAAAAGCGATTTCAGTTTATTAGAAAGTCGACTGCCCGCGATGAATTGACACGATCAACGGAATGAACTTGCAATCTGCATCCAATTTCATTAACTTGGGTCGACGGGAACTTCATTACCAGTACAATAGCTTTTATTACAACACTCCCGTTAAAATATATGGTCCTCGTTCCAATGCATTGAATAAACGAATAATTCCCGACCAATTCAATGGTGTGGCGTCAAGGACTCTGACAAGTATGTAATCAACCATTTAAAGCCCAGTACCGAGTACTCGCACCGCCTACTTTAATAATCATCAACGTTGCATTTTGACCACAGAACGTCTTTATGGCTTGTCGTATAGTTAACAGTGATTTTCTCCTTAAACATCATTTAGCAGTTGACATTTGTAATGGTGATGTGCTGTTTTCTTTGAAGTATGGGCTGAGGTCTTGAATATTTTTAGACGAGTTTTGCTCCAAAGGGCTGAACAGTCAACAAATGGTGTGCCATTCGAAAGGAGACAGAAAAGAAATTACTGGAAACTCCAGATATTACTCAGTAATTTACGTTATACATAACTAAAGAAAAATGACTTGTGTTTAAAAACTACTTACGGAAATTAAGTTCTCCAAACTACGAGGAAATAACAACTAATGAACGAATTTTGCAACAGCTAATAGTCATTCTGCCGAAAAATAAATTTCCTGTTGTTAATCGAACCCCAAGGATCCTCGCGGTTATCATAAAGCCCCGCCAGCGAATGTTATACATTAGCTTCTCCATACCCCACCTAAATTAAAATGTAAGTAAATAACTACGCAGAGGCCTGTTTTCGAGTATGTTTTTTGCACTCGCCGTTCTTAAATTTCCAATAACCTTGCCCACCGAAGAAGACCGTCTTCTGGAATGTTACTCGTAGAAATTACTCGCAACATCCCAGAAGACAGTTTTCCCTCGCACGGATCTGTTCACCTACCAACGTAATAAATCAAACACGGACTTTGTTTCCACACACACACAACCCCTCTTCATGCACCCCCTCCTCCCC